GTGTCAATGCAGAGCATTCTACATACTTGACTGCACGCAATTCTCTGGCCAACTTCTCCGCAGCTTCTACGCTGATCGGACGCTGCTTGGCTTTTGATAGTTTCTCGATAGTGCTTGCGTCATCTCTGAGATCTACTTGAGTCCCGACGAGTAGGAATGGGGTCTTGGGACAATGGTGAGTGATTTCAGGTACCCACTACACAATGAGAGAGAGAGAGAGAGAGAAAAGAAGGAGGAAAAGATAGAGAAAGGGAGAGAGAGAAGTTAGAAGTAGAGAAAGAAAGTAGGAGGAGAAAAGATCATTCATAGTGTGAGAATACCAGTACACATGATAAATGTGAATACCATATATGGACTGACAAACACAGGCAGACAGACACACACAAGATATTAACTAACTAACCTTCTCTTTCACGTTCTCAAATGAAGCTGGAGATACGACAGAGAAACAAACTAAAAACACATCAGTCTGAGGGTATGAGAGAGGTCTTAGACGATCGTAATCTTCTTGACCTGTAAAGGAGAAGGGGGGGATACAAATGAATTAGGCTGTGAGTAAAAGTGGGAGGAGTGACTCACCAGCAGTATCAAAGAGACCGAGTGTGTAGGGCTCTCCACCAATCATGACAGTTACGGCATAGTTATCAAAAACCTACAAAAGAGAGGGAGAAGGTGGAAAGAATAAGAGAAAGAAGAGAGAAACAAGTAATACGCAATACTAGTGTCACTGCTGTTTGCTGGTGCAACAAAAGGGTCAGAATAAGCCTATTTATTGCCTCATTCCCTTACCGTGGGTACATATTCTTGTGGAAACTTGTTTGTAGTGTAAGAGATGAGTAGACAGGTCTTACCGACAGCCCCGTCACCGACTACCACACACTTTATGGTTTGCATGTCTCTACACTGTATCCTCTGGCTTTCCTCGAAGTAAAGTAGACTTCTCTAAGAGCTAAGACCAAGTAACTTGCTTCCTTCTCAGGGCGTTTGCACAAGATGGCGTCTCCCCCAATTCCTTCCTTTATCAATAGTTTGTTACTATTTTTAGAGCGCTCTATTTTTAGAACAAGTAGTGCGTGCGCATGCATTGAATGTGTATGCACGTACTAGTTATACTGTGCTATTTTTAGCACAGAATATTAATATTCATGATCATGCAGTGGGATGCAGGATCAGAGTGACTTGTTTTCTCCTTGTATATTTCTCCTTGTGGAGGAATCTCAACATGGTTTTAACATAGTTCTTACAGACCAAAATATAAAAACAAAAATTGATGATAAAAATGAAAAAAAAAGATCTACTAATTTTCAAATAATTTGCTATTTCGTCGTATGTCTCTGAATCACTTTCTTCTCCGTTGGATTTCTAAATAAAAAAGAATAAAAACGATTTAGCAACTAAATATACTTACTTGCTTGAAGAGCT